GCTGCTGCTGCTGCTGCTGCTGCTGCTGCTGCTGCTGCTGCTGGTGTTATCTATGGGTTTTGCGTCGTGTCTGCTACTACTACCGCCGTATATACTGCTGCTGCTGCTGCTGCTGCTGTTGCTGCTGCTGCTGCTGTTGCAGCTGCTCCTTCTCCTCTCCCATCCCCTCCCCCTGCTGCCGCTGCTGCTGCTGCTGCTGCTGCTGCTGCAGCAGCAGAAGAAGCACTCTCTGTCTCTATTCCTATAAGCTTTTTCCAGCTGCTGCAGCGCAGCACAAACAGCAGCATCAACAGCAGCAGCATCAGCAAAGTCCTTTATAAGAAGCAAACTCTCTGGCTGCTGCGGGGGCCCCTGCGGCAGCAGCGGCGTTACGTTGCCATCGTAGGGGGCCCACATCCTGCTGCTGCTCCTGCTGCTGCTGCTGCTGCTGCTGCTGCTGCTGATGCTGATGCTGAAGCTGCGGTGGCGGTGCCTGTTGCTGTCGCTGCTGCTGATGCTGCTGCTGCTGCTGATGATGATGATGATGATGATGATGCTGCTGTTGGTGTTGCTTCTGCTGCTGCTGCTGCTGCTGCTGCTGNGATGATGATGATGATGATGATGCTGCTGTTGGTGTTGCTTCTGCTGCTGCTGCTGCTGCTGCTGCTGCTGCTGCTGCTGCTGCTGCTGGGGGGCGAGAGGTGATGCGGGCGGTGGGGTGGAGATGAGTAAGAGCAGCAGCAGCAGCAGCAGCAGCAGCAGGAACAGCAGCAGCAGCAGCAGCAGAAGCAGAATCAGCAGCAGAAGGAACAGAAGGAAGAGAGAGAGAGAGTGTATTGCTGCTGCTGCTGCTGCTGCAGCTGTTGCTGCTGCTGCTGTTTATAATATTTTTATGTATGGGGGGCCCCCGGGGGCCCCCTACCCTCAGCTGTATATATAAAATAAAATAAAATAAATTAATTTATTTTTATTAAAAAAAAGAAAATATAAAATAAATGCTAGAAGCAGCAAAATCGGTGAGACACCGCTGCTGCTGCTCCTGCTGCTGCTGCTGCTGCTGCTGCTGCTGCTGCTGCTGCTGCTGCTGTCGGCACAGGGGCCCCCCCCATAGCCTTCTGCTGCTCTTGCAGCAGCA